AAGAATTAAATAAAATACAGGAGAGGCATAAAAGACAAAAGGCCAATAGCAAAATAGAGAGGAATCCAAAATAGTTTTTCTCCTATGCAAAATTTAGAACAAAAACTACATCCTGCATTGGGTCCTTCATTGCAGATCAATGATCCAAACAATTTCTTTATGAATGTGACACCACCACCGAGTACATGTATCTGGTATTACCTTAACCCCACTCAACTTTGAAGCAGCCGTAGGCAGCATGTCCATGCACTCTGCACGAAGCCCAGATGCCTGGAATTCCATATTCATATAGAATTGCAAAGAACCACTATCACAGGCCCTAAACATCCTTTGGAAACAGAGCCTAGATACTGGTGTTATCCCTGACATACTTTAAACAACAGAGATCATGCCACTACACAAAAGAGGTAGTGAAGCTGGTTCAAAAAATTATTGACCAATAGCTTTAACATAGCACTCTTCCAAAGATTTTTATGATGTGCAAAGAAGTAAGATCACAAACACAGAATCTGTGTCTCCATAGCTGGGCAACATGAGTTTAGAACACTGCCCCTCACAATTGCTAAACCACTATGACATGGCCTTAGATGCCATGGAAGACAGACAAAATGCTGATGTTAGATGTACAGATTTTGCAATAGCCTTCAACAAATGTGACCATGGTGGTGGTGTGTATAATATGCACACACAAGGAATTATTAGCAAAATAGGGAGATGCATCTTTAACTTCCTAACAAACAGAAGCCACAGTGTAATAGTCAACAAAGTAATATCTGAATCATCCACCATGAAAAGTTCGGTTCCCAAGGTACTGCACCATGCTTGCTTCGGTACTTTTCCTCATCCTCATATGAGACATAGACAAGGATACTAACAATAGTTCTTTACTGTGTCATCCTTCAAGAACCTTTCAAACAAGAGATGCTAAGCAGTGATACTTTTTAAGACATTATTGCTCTCTAGAGTAGAATATTGTTGCACACTAACAGCCTCATTCAAAGCTGGAGAAATTGCTGACCTGGAGAACGTGCAAAGATACTATACCTCTAGAATCCACTTGATAAAATGTCTAAATTATTGGGACCACCCTTAAAAATTTTAAATCTGTATTCCTTAGAGTGCAGGTGGAAGAAATACATACTAATCTACACTTGGAAAATATTAGGAGGACTGGTTTTAAATCTGCACACAGAAATAGCATCACATGAGATCAGAAAGCAAGCTGAGTTCAGGTTCTTGGTGAACTGAAGGAAGTCCCATTTAGTTCCCTCTCGGGTTTGGACGTGGCTGGGTCTTGTATAGGACTCTCGGATCGCTTCCTTGTGTTTTCCTCCTGTGGCGTTGTTGTGACTGCGGTCCTGCCTACTACTGTTTTTGGAGGGCACCCGGGTCACACGTCGATTGTTTGAACGGCTGTGCGGGAGCCTGAACTTCGCCGTGCTGGTCTATCTGTTGGGTCGGAACTGGCTTTGGCAGCTGTTCTAGTTTCTTCGGGGGCGTCCCTTCCGCCGTTCTTGCGATCGATGGTTCATATCCCAGTAGCCTTGTGTCGGCTGCTGCGTCGCGGGCTTCCTCTTCGGGGTTTTCAGGATTCTGTGCTGTGACGCCTCCCCGAGCCCTCGCTCGATGTGTTCATGGATGCCTCATCTCTCGATTGGGGTTTTGTGACCAGTGCTCACCAGGCCAGCCAGGATTGATGGGGTCTGTCCTTCCGTCGGGCTTATAGCACGGCGCAGGAGTTTGCGGTGGTGTGACATTCGCTTCAGAGGGTTCATATTGCTCGAGGAGCAACGATCCGGCTCCATTCGGACTGCTCCCCGGTGGTTTATTGCCTGAACCGCTGGGTTTGGTGTGGTCCTTGGTTCTTTGGGCTTATTGCTGCGGGTGACTCGTCCGCTGAGTTCTCAGTGTTTGGCTCCCCTGACGGTTCATGTTTAGGGGGTGTCAAACGTCCTGGCAGACAGCCTGTCTCGGTTCATTCCCCTATCCACAGAATGGACGGTAAACGCCGACTCCTTTAGTTGGTTCTGCTGGACGTACATGAACTCGGATGTGGACCTTTTTGCATCATCGTGGTTGAGGTGTCTACCAGTGTTTGTGGCCCTTCTTTCCAGACTGCGAGGCCATCGGGGTCGATACCTCTCGGCTGGACTGGTCGAGGTGGAGTCACCTGTACTGTCCCACCGGTTCAGTTGATGCTCTGAGTCCTGGCTCGCTTAGAGGCTTACCAGGGAAGAGTATTCCTGTTGGCCCCTTGGTGGCCGGCCCAGCCCTAGTTTCAGGCGCTTCTTGCTTGATGTCTGAACCCGAGGGTCTTTCCGTGGCTCCGTCTCTTTCAGCAGATTGGTCCGGTATGGTACGTGGCTGGTTCGATCTTCTTCACTCTTTGCGTCTGGTCTTTTTGATGCGGGGTTTATCACCACTTGTATGGTGATCAGGTGGTTTCGTTCATGGTGTCCCACCTGCGAGTTTCGTCTCGGCGGCAGTATGAAATTTCCTGGCGGTCCTTTCGGCACTTTTTGTCTCTTCGTAGGTTGTCTACGATTTCTGATCAGGTTGTTTTGTTCTTTCTTTCTTGGTTGTTTCAGGACCGTTATTGTATGCCAAATGCTGTCGCCTCATATCGTGCAGCGCTGGCGGAGCGACTGCTGCTTGCATTCGGGATGGATGTCACTTCTGCTCCGTTCCGCAAGCTTTCTCTGGCTTTGTTTCACCTCTGGTCTGCTCATGCACCGCCTAAGCCTTCCAGGTCGTTGGACCGGGTGCTCTCTCTTCTCTCTCCTTCTTGATTTTTGGTGGCCCCCTCGGTTCACGACTGTTTTTCTAAGGCTCTTTTTCTAAGGCCAATGCCTTCTTGGCATTGGCCTCTGGGGGTCAGGTCGGGGAGCTTCATGCTCTCCTCTGGCACAGGGGTTTCTGGTCTTTCGGTCCTGGTTGTCATTTCGTTCGTTTGCAGCCATCTCCTTCTTTTCTGGCGAAGAATGAGTCTGCTGCTTTCCGAAGGGGTCTTTGGGTTGTTGATGCTTGGTTGGTTCGGCTGGGGGTGCATCATGTTTTGTGTCCGGTTGCGGCTCTTTGCCGTTATTGGCGCGCCACAGCCTTCGTGGCAGGGGACACGCTTTAGGTGGGCGGTTTCCCTTCTTACCTGTTCCTGTGCGCGGGTCTCCCAGGTTGTCCGTAGGATTATTCGGTCTAGCCAGAATGCTGTCTATTCCCGTGCCCACAATGTTTGTAAGTTCGCTGCTTTGGCTGCTGTTTTTGGTAATATGTCCTGGGCTGACATTCGGGCATGGGGCTCTTGGAGGTTGAACAGGGTCCTGGCTGCACCATACCTCGTTAATGTTACTGGCTCTTCTCGTGTGTGTGTAGCCTTGGGTTGCAGGTTACAGCCAGTTGTCTCGACTTTGAGTTGAGGAGCGAGTGACGGCCGCCTCCCAGGTAAGGCCGCCTCCCGCCTCTTTTTCTTCTTTATCTTGGTTAGGTAATTCTGGGGAGCTTAAGGGGGGCTCTCCACAGAAAACCAGCGTTAAATGTAATGAAACACCATTTTCTGGGCGAGACCTGGAGGCTCCCCGGCATCCCTCCCTGCCTCCCTCTGGTCGGCGTGGTTTCGCGATTTTGATATTGAGCCTGAACTAAGAAGAGTAGCTGGCGGGGAGGTCTGGGACCCCCTGTCCCAGGGAGGTCCCAGACCTCCGCGGCGGTTGTGGTGACGTCATGCTTGTTTGCTAGATTTTGATTGAGGAGTTCTGGTTGCTATTCTTCTTTTTGGTTTGTAATTTTTTGACCAGCAGTAGTGTGTGTGTGGTAAGTCTTACCTTTCTGTGTGCCTGACCTGGTAGATGGCAGACAAAGACTACTTCCAATTACATGAGGGGTGTCTTTAGGCCATTGCTCCTTGTGCCTTGTCTTGAGGGGGGCCAGGTTCTGGCTCTGGTCCTTGGTAGGCCTAGAACTCCATCGATTGACTGTTGCCACGGTCTAATACATACACGTCAACCTTGTATAGTTCCGGGGAGCCTCCGAGTCTCGCCCAGAAAATGGCATTTCATTACATTCAATGCTGGTTTTTTGGTTTCTAAACATAAAAGTAATTATTATATACCACACCATGGGGTCCCAAGAAAGTCAGTGGTAAGGTTCAACCTATGAAAACACATGTGAGGATGACCATAGAGGAAAAAAAGTTTATGGAAAAGTTCTTAGTGAGACTAACAAGCAGTGAGCCACAACCAGGTCCTAGTGGTTTGCAGGCAAAATGTAGGAGAGAGAGTACCCCAGAGAAGTCCTCACTGCCTGATGTTATTATAATAGAAGGGGGACTCCCCTTCTAAACACTAACAACTCTCCTCCCCCCCCCTCTCACTGTTGTCCATATACCAAGAAGAGTCATCAGTAATGGTAAGCTATAGCTTGTACATACTATAGTACAAAATATTAGTTTATTATGTATGAAATGTATTTTGACGTTAATATTTTAGGGAGTGTGTAACGGATTAATTCAGTTTACATTATTTCTCATAAGAAAATTCGTTTCGGGTTACGAGTCGTCTTTGGGAATGGATTAAATTTGTAAACAAAGGTACCTCTGTATATGCAATAAAGAAGTATGTAGGTGTGTAATCGTTGCTGCTTAGTAAAGATATGAAGTACAGTTTGCTGTTTACAAATTGGATTGGAAGAATACACTTTTGATGGTTGAGATATGGGGAGAGGACCAGGAACAATAAGGAAACTGATATATAGCAAGGAAGAAGGGTATTCTGTGCAGTAATAAAACTTAGGTAATCAGCATATGTGTGTGGGAAAGTTAAACAGACTAAAGGAGTATCTTTTGGATAGTTTCCAGTGAATGAATTTCAAAATACAGTCCATTGAAGATTGAAGCATATTACTCTATTTGTATTTCAAAATAATTTTTTTTCTATACAGTATAAAGTATTACCAATGTAATCAATAATTGAGGCTGATAGAGATTTTGTATGTGTCTTTTTTACAAGGTTATTAGCTGAGGTAAACAAGAAACGGGAAAACGAAGGGTTGTTCAAAGTCCTCCTCCACACAGATGCTGCACAGGCTATTGGGAAAGTTCCCGTGGATGTTACAGACCTCAATGTTGACTACCTAACAATTGTTGGACACAAGGTATGTATGTATGTGTATATATGTATGTGCTGCTTGCAGCCTTTAAGCCTTTATATTCAGCACAACCTGGTATGATAAGATTAGAGTTACTTATCCTACTGGGTTTTGAGTCATTTTTGTTCACATTTAAAAAATATACTTATTGGTAGAATGTGGTATTCTTATTGTATTTCACTGGCTATGCCAGTGGGAACAATTTGTTAAGAGGGCAGTGGGGGGGGGGGTAAGTAGTGGATATAGAACAAATATATATGATAGTGTGAAGAAATGGCAGCAGCAATAAAGGACTTTCTATTACCTTTGCTTCTATAGAGAGAGTAATCACAGACTTGACAGTCTGTGATTACTCTAAAGAAGCAAAGACAATAGGAAGTAATTACAGCTTTTGTCAAGTCTGTGATTACTTTCTCTATAGAAGCAAAGACAATAGGTGCAAATGCAAGGACTATAGAAAATAAGCAAATCTTCTTTCCATAGGTATGAAATTGTATTGTGGCTTATTGGTCAACTGGGTAGAAATAGCTTGTATGTAAAGAGCAGAGAATGTCAAGTGAATATTTAGGTGTGTTGGTCATTGCAAGCAATGTTTCTGTGGGGAGCCCCTATGACTCCCTGGAGCATATCGGGCTATTGTATGTTATATTAGACCGGGACATTAGCTAAGGAGTTCAGACCTACCAGGGACCAGTGCTAGAACCTGGCCCCTTCGGAGAGGTTTCAGGGAGCAATGGCCCTGGTAAACCCCTTGTGGTTGGGGTTTTCCTTATCTGCCATCGACCAGGGTTAGGCACCCAGAAAGGTAGGCATAACAAAACAAACTCCACATGGTAAGAAACTAAAACAAAAACCGAACAGAGAGGTAGAAACTCCCTACAATCCAAAGGAAACAAGCAAACATCACACTTTACTGCCGCGCCGGTTGTCCGCGCAGCCCTCCCCGCCCCGAGAAGGGGATGGGGGGGTCCCAGACCTCACCGCGCCGGCTGCCTAGCATCAGTTAGTAAGCTAATGCCAATTGAGACAGACGCTTCTCTGGCTTCGGTTTCCTCGGCGGTGTTTGCCTTCATGGCTCTCACTGCTGTTTTTGTGTTGTGCGGTGGCCGGGTGTTCCTCATCAGTACCGGGGTTGCATGTGCTTAGGGGCTTCCTTCCCTAAGCACCCTGTGAGTACTGCCCCTGCGTGACAGGGCTATCTTCCCTGGGGCGTTCGGGGAACCATTTCCGTAAAGGTTCTTGCTGCTCAGCATTTGCCTCGCCCTTGGGGCCAGCTGGGGCTTGGGGCCCTTGTTTGGCCCTGGGTAAGGACTGGTATTGTGCTGGTTAGGGCGTCAAGGTGTTGCGCGACCTGCCACCTACGCGGCGACCAATTCCTTTTGCCTCTGGGGATGGTGTACTTTTGCGGTGTTTTACGTTTGTTTTTAATTTTACTTTGCCTGGTGGGGGTCTGCCTAATGTGGCTATAGTTCCACTAGTAGTGTTTGGTGGCCCTCTGCTAGCCCCCCGTGCTTGTATACGTCGCAGGGGTTTTCAGTATTGCATCCCACCTTGTTAGCTTGGGTGTTAACCGGTTAGCAACACCTTGCCTGGGCTTCCCGTAGCAATCAGTCTACGGGCCTTGGAAAACCCTGTCAAGGCTTGGTGGACCATTGGATGTGTCTTCCGGGTTCCATCCAGTCTTGTGCGGGTTTGTTGGTTGCTGTGCCCTTGTCTCGGGGTGACAGTTGCCACTTTTGCCTCCGTCATGCTGCCTGTTGGGTCACTGACACCTTGACCCAGATTCTTGCGAGTTGTGTTCTCGGCTTGTTCTCCAGTACTTTCCTGATGTCCTTACTGTTCAGAATACAGGTGGCATCCGCGTTGCAAGCTCGGTTTAGGTTGCTGCTACGCGCTAGGTTGGTTTTCCATCCGGATGCCCCTGAGCTGCCCCGTTTTGGTTAGGTACTGTTCGCCACCTTTCCCTCCCTATTCCCAGCTTCTGACCGTCTGCGGGTTTCAGGGTCTAGTTGGTGCAGAGACTCGGGGTGGCTCGGGGGCTGCCCCGTTCAGGTTGAGGATGGAGGTTTTCGAGCCTGGTCCTCCTGCCAAGGCTTCTGGGCCTTACAAGCGGCCCTTCTTTGCTGCCTTTCCCCAGGGCTCTTCCTTTTCTTTAAGGGCGGAGGGCGTCTCTGCCCCGGGGCCTCTGTTACAGGTTCCCGGGGCTGTGGGGGATGCCCTCCTGCAGTTCTGGGGCTGTTTGCCCCTGCCTGGGTCTTCTGCTTCTGGGTGATGTTTTTTGTCCCTCTAGTCTGCTTGCTTCCCACATTTGCTGGCGTTTTCGGCTCTATTGCGTCAGTCACGGCTCCTTGGTGTGGTGGCCATTTTCTTTTCTGCGGATAACTCCCCGCTTGGCCACCTGGGCGGCCCTGCGGTATGTTTACCTCGGCCGGGGTGTGGGAGCTCGCATTTTGGATGAGTTTTTTCACATCTTTCAGGGGTTTTATCCTCCTGTTGCCGTTTCTTTGTTTTTCTGTGGTTTTTATGCCTGTCTTCTGTTCTTCTGGAAACGCTTGGGTGTTGGTTTTTACACTGGTTTTTGCATTTTGTCTGTTTTGGGTCTGGGCCCTAGGGTTTGGGCTCAGTGTCCCTGTCTGTTTATGCTTGCTCCCACACCTTGTCCCCCGGTTTTCGGTCTGTTTTGACCGTTTCCTTGGGGGGTTCTGTCTGGGTGCTGTGTATTGCCCTGCTGTGGTGTAATTCCGCCAGCAAATGTGGTAGTTTGGGCTTCCCTGGGTTCAATTCCGGGTTCCTTTAGGCTCTTTGGTTTTGTTCCAGAGGTTTCTTCATCTTGGGCCCCTTTTGTGGGTTCAGGGGGCTTTTGTTACCTAGTTTGTGACCCGGTTCTGCCTTCTGGGGTTCAGGGCTCTTCCTGGCTTGCAGGCTGACCTTGTTGGGTCTTGGCACGTGTTGTGGTCGTGCTGGGGCCTTGGGTTTTTGTTGTCGAGGTGGGCCTTTCGATGCAGTTTTTGTGCTCTCTTGGTGCCTTCTTCGTCTGGCCTGCATGGTGCTCTCTGCCCTCCGCCCTCCGGTCGGCGGCTTGTCTTTTCTTTTTTTCTCTTCTTTTTTCAGTTTGTTTACATGTATGTAATTTGTTTTTATACATTTAGTGTGTATGTATGTATGTATATATATGTGTATAGATGTACATGTATGTATGTGTGTGTTTATATATACAGTATACATTTTCTTTCAGAAGGGGTTCCGTTCCCTTTGCTGTTGATGGGGCACTGTGGGTGGGGGGGGGGGGGGCAGCCTGCTATGTTGGCTCTTGCTTGGTCCCGCAGTTCGTGGGCGTTTTTGGTTGTCTTCCGGTCTTTGGTGGCGTCGGACGGCTTCTCCCCCCTTTGAGGGGTTCGGGGCTGGTGGGGTGGGCTTCTTCCCCTGCGCTTCGTCATGTCATCTTGGTGGGTGTGTTTGGATGTGGTCGTTCCGCCCCATCCTTCCGGGGTTCCTGCCTGTTCTAGTGCCGACATAGGCCTTGCGGATCTGCAGTTCTTCTGGACTTGTTCAGTCTGCGCCCTGGATTCTTTGCCCTCTTCGGAAGACTGCTGTCTTCGGTCCAGCTTCTGTTGGGGCCGGGTGCCTGGATGGTGGCCCTGGACCTCCAGGTCACTTCTTGGCACATTCCTCTCCAGGGTTCTGGGACTGGCACAGTTGGTGGCTGGGCTTCAGGCTTGCTGCTTTTGTTGCCTTCCCTAGTTTGTGATTGGCACTTGGTGTATTTTTGCATCTTTACCGGATCTTAGTGCCCTGTCTGAGTCTGTTCGGGATTCGGTTTCTGGCCTACCTCGACGACTGGCTGGTGTGGGCTCCCAGGTCCACTTGTCTGCTCGCCAGGGGTGTGGTTCTTTCCAGATCACCAGGTTCGGTTTCCTGGTGATCTGGAGGCTGTTCCATCTGCTTCCGTCCAGGGTTCGGACCTGGCTGGGTCTTGTTTAGAACTCTTCGACTGCTTCTTAATCTTTCCCTCTTGAAGCATTGCTGTGGCTATGGTCCCGCCTTTGGCTCTTTATGAGGGGGTCCCGGGTTGCTCGGCGGTTGCTCGAGCGGTTGTGTGGGAGTCTGAAGTTCGCCGTGCTGGTCTGCCCGCTGGGTCGGGTTTGGCTTCGGTGTCCGTTTGGTTCCTTCGGGGACTCCCCCTCTACTCTCGTAATCGTTGGGTTTGTCCTCTGGGGATCTTGTGTTGGTGCTGCGTCACCAGCTTCCTCTTTAAGGTTTTCGGGGTTCCGTGCCTGGGCGCCTCCCCAAGCCTTCGCTCGATGTGTTCATGGATGGGTCATCTCTCGGCTGGGGCTTTGTGACCAGTGCTCACCAGGCCAGCCAGGGATGGTGGGGTCCGTCCATCCGTCAGGCTCACAGCACAGTTCGGGAGTTCGTGGCTGTCGTGTTTGCGCTTCAGAGGGTTCGGGTCACTCGGGGCTCTACCATCCAGCTCCATTCGGACTGTTCTCCGTTTCCTTTGTTCTCTGTTTCGGGGCTTGGGGTTACCCAGGTTGTCTGCAGTTTTCTTAAGTCGACCGGGGGAGCCGGTCGGCCGAGCGGACAGCACGCTGGACTTGTGATCCTGTGATCCTGGGTTCGATCCCAGGCGCCGGCGAGAAACATTGGGCAGAGTTTCTTTCACCCTATGCCCCTGTTACCTAGCAGTACAATAGGTACCTGGGTGTTAGTCAGCTGTGACGGGCTGCTTCCTGGGGGTGGAGGCCTGGTCGAGGACCGGGCCGCGGGGACACTATATAAAGCCCCGAAATCATCTCAAGATAACCTCAAGATAACCTACCAGCCTGCGGTCCATCCTTGTGCCCGTGCCGTTCAGATGTTTGCAGCTTTCGCTGCCATGTTTGGTGACGTCCTGGGCTCATTTCGGGTGTGATGTTTTGGGGGTTGCACAGGTTCTTTTGTGAGCGTGTCTGCTCCTGTGCGTTCTTGTGTTGCTTTGGTATGCAGGTTACTGCCTGTTGTCTCGACTTCGTGTTGCGGAGTTTGTGACGCCTGCCTCCCGGGTCTGCCCTTTTTTTTTTCCTTCTCATTGGGTATGTAGCTCCAGGGAGCCAAAGGGGCTTTTCACAGAAAACCAGCGTTGAATGTAATGAAACGCCATTTTCTGGGTGAGCCCCGGAGGTTCCCTGGCAACCCTCCCTCCCACTGGTTGGCGGTTTTTTCACGTTGGTTGAAGCTTAGCTTCCGAACTGGTGCTAGTCAGCCGGCGCAGTGAGGTCCATGACCCCTCCCCCTCTTGGGACGGGGAGGGCTGCGCGGACAACCGGCGCGGCAGTAAAGTGTGATGTTTGCTTGTTTCCTTGGGATTGTAGGGAGTTTCTACCTCTCTGTTCGATTTTTGTTTTAGTTTCTTACCATGTGGGGTTTGTTTTGTTATGCCTACCTTTCTGGGTGCCTAACCTTGGTTGATGGCAGATAAGGAAAACCCCAACCACAAGGGGGTTTCCAGGGCCACTGCTCCCTGAAACCTCTCTGAAGGGGCCAGGTTCTGGCGCTGATCCCTGGTAGGTCTGAACTCCTTAGCTAATGTCCCGGTCTAATATAACATACATTAGCTCGATAAGCTCCAGGGAGCTTCCGGGGCTCACCCAGAAAAATGGCGTTTCATTACATTCAACGCTGGTTTTTTGATAAGACATGTTTTGGGTAAAATATATATAGTTCTGTATGGTAAAGTTGTTGAGCTTATGTTTGTGGACTAGCCAATTGACAAAATAATAATTTTAACTTTTGTATAAATTCTTTCAATTGGCTTTTTGCAGTATTATGGACCTCGGATTGGTGCACTGTATATCCGTGGTTTAGGGCACAAGACGCCTGTATATCCTATGCTGTACGGAGGTGGCCAAGAGAGAGGATACCGGCCAGGTACGGAGAACACTCCAATGATTGCTGGGTTGGGCCGAGCATCACTTCTAGTTCATAACAATGTTCAAGACTATTATGCATCGATGAAAAAAACTAGAAACTATATGGAAAGACAATTGAAGGTTGGTTCATTGTGCAACTTTCTCTTGAAAGAACAGGAAGTGGTGAAGGGAAATTATATGAATTTATGCAACTCATCCTCCAGAATGCTAGTGCTTACAGCAACTATGGCTGAAATAAAAACAAAAATATGGACTTTTGTACCTAAAAACTCACATTTTTGTACTAAAGGGTTTAACATAACATGAAAATCAACTAACCACAAAACTAACCTAACCTGTCTTAAGCCTAAATAATCAATCATAAGCTTAATTTAATATGTATTTCTGTGGGAGCCTCTTGTGGCTCCTTGAAACTCACCCTGAGATAGCTCCCAACTACAGTACTAGATTGCACAGCCGTTGAGTTTAGCCAAGCAACAGGAACCATAAACCCGAACCTGGGCCCCTTACGAGAGGCACAAGGGGCAGGTGACACACTGCCTCCTCACTAGGGAAGGCACTCTGAAAGTCACTGAACCGATATAGACTACTGCTGGGTTCAAAAGAGGCCAAAGCCTCATAACCTGCCTTATGAACTCCCCAAACAATGTAAACAAAAGATTCAATATCTTAAAACAAGTATGTGCTCGTTTGTCTCGCTTCTCCCACTCGTTTGGGGAGATGAGGGGACCGGGGCTAACGCTTTCCAATGGCTCCTTGAGCGTTTGTAAGCCGTACTTGGCCCTGGTGTTTTTCATCTGTGCCTCTTTACACTTAGTTGTGTGTGGCTTGGGTTTGTTCAGTACGCTGTTGGTGTAGCATGGACCAGGCCTTTTAGAGGGCTTAGAGCTGCATGTGCTCAAAGTTACCTTTCCTGAACACTGTAGCACTGTCAACGGCACTGACGGAGTTCTCAGGGTGTGTTCAGGCATTTGCTGTCTTGGAGATCTTTTCTGCTTGGGGTGGCTCTTGTCTTTGGAGAGTAGAGGTCTTGTTGCCCCTGTCTTGGGAGAGTAGAGGTCTTGTTGCCCCCCTGTCTTGGGAGAGTAGAGGTCTTGTTGCCCCTGTCTTGGGAGAGTAGAGGTCTTGTTGCCCCTGTCTTGGGAGAGTAGAGGTCTTGTTGCCCCTGTCTTGGGAGAGTAGAGGTCTTGTTGCCCCTGTCTTGGGAGAGTAGAGGTCTTGTTGCCCCTGTCTTGGGAGAGTAGAGGTCTTGTTGCCCCTGTCTTGGGAGAGTAGAGGTCTTGTTGCCCCCTGTCTTGGGAGAGTAGAGGTCTTGTTGCCCCCTGTCTTGGGAGAGTAGAGGTCTTGTTGCTCCCTGTCTTGGGAGAGTAGAGGTCTTGTTGCCCCTGTCTTGGGAGAGTAGAGGTCTTGTTGCCCCTGTCTTGGGAGAGTAGAGGTCTTGTTGCCCCTGTCTTGGGAGAGTAGAGGTCTTGTTGCCCGTGTCTTGGGAGAGTAGAGGTCTTGTTGCCCCCTGTCTTGGGAGAGTAGAGGTCTTGTTGCCCCTGTCTTGGGAGAGTAGAGGTCTTGTTGCCCCTGTCTTGGGAGAGTAGAGGTCTTGTTGCCCGTGTCTTGGGAGAGTAGAGGTCTTGTTGCCCCCTGTCTTGGGAGAGTAGATGTCTTGTTGCCCCTGTCTTGGGAGAGTAGAGGTCTTGTTGCCCCTGTCTTGGGAGAGTAGAGGTCTTGTTGCCCCCTGTCTTGGGAGAGTAGAGGTCTTGTTACCCCTGTCTTGGGAGAGTAGAGGTCTTGTTACCCCCTGTCTTGGGAGAGTAGAGGTCTTGTTACCCCTGTCTTGGGAGAGTAGAGGTCTTGTTACCCCCTGTCTTGGGAGAGTAGAGGTCTTGTTACCCCTGTCTTGGGAGAGTAGAGGTCTTGTTACCCCCTGTCTTGGGAGAGTAGAGGTCTTGTTACCCCTGTCTTGGGAGAGTAGAGGTCTTGTTACCCCCTGTCTTGGGAGAGTAGAGGTCTTGTTGCCCCTGTCTTGGGAGAGTAGAGGTCTTGTTGCCCCTGTCTTGGGAGAGTAGAGGTCTTGTTGCTCCCTGTCTTGGGAGAGTAGAGGTCTTGTTGCCCCCTGTCTTGGGAGAGTAGAGGTCTTGTTGCCCCTGTCTTGGGAGAGTAGAGGTCTTGTTACCCCTGTCTTGGGAGAGTAGAGGTCGTGTTGCCCCTATCTTGGGAGAGTAGAGGTCTTGTTGCCCCCTGTCTTGGGAGAGTAGAGGTCTTGTTGCCCCTGTCTTGGGAGAGTAGAGGTCTTGTTGCCCCCCGTCTTGGGAGAGTAGAGGTCTTGTTACCCCTGTCTTGGGAGAGTAGAGGTCTTGTTGCTCCCTGTCTTGGGAGAGTAGAGGTCTTGTTGCCCCTGTCTTGGGAGAGTAGAGGTCTTGTTGCCCCCTGTCTTGGGAGAGTAGAGGTCTTGTTGCCCCTGTCTTGGGAGAGTAGAGGTCTTGTTGCCCCCTGTCTTGGGAGAGTAGAGGTCTTGTTGCCCCTGTCTTGGGAGGGTAGAGGTCGTGTTGCCCCTGTCTTGGGAGAGTAGAGGTCTTGTTGCCCCCTGTCTTGGGAGAGTAGAGGTCTTGTTGCCCCCTGTCTTGGGAGAGTAGAGGTCTTGTTACCCCCTGTCTTGGGAGAGTAGAGGTCTTGTTGCCCCCTGTCTTGGGAGAGTAGAGGTCTTGTTACCCCTGTCTTGGGAGAGTAGAGGTCTTGTTGCCCCCGTCTTGGGAGAGTAGAGGTCTTGTTGCCCGTCTTGGGAGAGTAGAGGTCTTGTTGCCCCCTGTCTTGGGAGAGTAGAGGTCTTGTTACCCCTGTCTTGGGAGAGTAGAGGTCTTGTTGCCCCCTGTCTTGGGAGAGTAGAGGTCTTGTTGCTCCTGTCTTGGGAGAGTAGAGGTCTTGTTACCCCCTGTCTTGGGAGAGTAGAGGTCTTGTTGCCCCCTGTCTTGGGAGAGTAGAGGTCTTGTTGCCCCCTGTCTTGGGAGAGTAGAGGTCTTGTTGCTCCTGTCTTGGGAGAGTAGAGGTCTTGTTACCCCCTGTCTTGGGAGAGTAGAGGTCTTGTTACCCCTGTCTTGGGAGAGTAGAGGTCTTGTTGCCCCTGTCTTGGGAGAGTAGAGGTCTTGTTGCCCCCTGTCTTGGGAGAGTAGAGGTCTTGTTACCCCTGTCTTGGGAGAGTAGAGGTCTTGTTGCCCCCTGTCTTGGGAGAGTAGAGGTCTTGTTACCCCTGTCTTGGGAGAGTAGAGGTCTTGTTGCCCCCTGTCTTGGGAGAGTAGAGGTCTTGTTACCCCTGTCTTGGGAGAGTAGAGGTCTTGTTGCCCCTGTCTTGGGAGAGTAGAGGTCTTGTTGCCCCCTGTCTTGGGAGAGTAGAGGTCTTGTTACCCCTGTCTTGGGAGAGTAGAGGTCTTGTTGCCCCCTGTCTTGGGAGAGTAGAGGTCTTGTTACCCCTGTCTTGGGAGAGTAGAGGTCTTGTTGCCCCCTGTCTTGGGAGAGTAGAGGTCTTGTTGCTCCTGTCTTGGGAGAGTAGAGGTCTTGTTGCCCCTGTCTTGGGAGAGTAGAGGTCTTGTTGCCCCTGTCTTGGGAGAGTAGAGGTCTTGTTACCCCTGTCTTGGGAGAGTAGAGGTCTTGTTGCCCCCTGTCTTGGGAGAGTAGAGGTCTTGTTGCCCCTGTCTTGGGAGAGTAGAGGTCTTGTTGCCCCTGTCTTGGGAGAGTAGAGGTCTTGTTGCCCCCTGTCTTGGGAGAGTAGAGGTCTTGTTGCCCCTGTCTTGGGAGAGTAGAGGTCTTGTTGCCCCTGTCTTGGGAGAGTAGAGGTCTTGTTGCCCCCTGTCTTGGGAGAGTAGAGGTCTTGTTGCCCCTGTCTTGATCCAGTTCAGGACCAAGCTATGGTTGGTTGGGACTCACTGGAGGCTCATGTGCTTGTAGATACCTCATGCTGGGGTTGGTTTTCACAGCTGTGTAGCCCAAGCTGTGAGTGCTTTTATGTCCAGTGTAATGGTTATCTTGAGAGGATTTTAGGGCTTAGCATCCCCGCAGCCTGGTTCTCAACCAGGCCTCCTTTTTGCCAGCCCGTAGCAGCTGTCTAACTTCTAGGTACCTATTTACTGCTAGATAACAGGGGCATCAGGGTGAAAGAAACATTTTGCCCATTTGTCTCCACCTCCACCAGCTCGAGAAGGAAAAAAATGAAGAACAGAGGCAAAATGCCTGCGAGCACGAAGATCCTCTGCCACCAAGAGGGAAGAATCTGGGCATGCAACTGGAGCCGGCCAACCTCATGAGGAAGCACAGGGGTGTAAAGGCATGCATTAAGGTGCTCAAAGGCGTCCCCTAAGTAAACCTGCAGCACCATAGTGAGCTCTCGTTACTGAAGCGTGCAGGTACGACAAAACCCGTACCATGCCCCAAGCAAAAAGAAAGGGCAGTCTGCAAGCCAACAAGATGCCAGAACCTCATAACACACCCAAAAAAGGAAGAAGACTCGAACTCAAAAGAGATCAGGTCCATCACAGGCATAATCCGGGTCTTGCAGGAGGTAGGCACCAAGGGGCCTCCTCAATCTCTGCAGGGGAAATCCGAGAGGTAGAAAACCTCTGGAAGTTTGAAGCCGCGGAACTCGAGGGAACCTGGAAACAAACCCCATACCAAACTCGTACAGGAAGACCCGAACCTTGCAACAGCAGACCCCTCCTCGAGGGCACCAAAGCCCAGGCAGGCTGAAAAGGGGCCCCAAGCACCCCAGGCCGTCATCCCCCCAGCTCCGGAAGACAGAACGGGTCTGAGGCACAGCCGTCATCAACGCCCTTCACACTTGAAGAAAAGGCAGAGTCCAAGGAAAAGGCATCAAAGAAGGGGCCACTGGAAAGACCCAGAAGCCTTGGCAGGAGACTCAGGCTCAAGTGCTTCTGTCCCAGCATCAAATGGGGCAGCCCCCGGAACCGCCAGAGTCTCATCCCCAGCTAAACCATTCCCCGACCCTGAAACCCTGAGACGTATGGGAGCCGGCAGCAGGAGAGGAGGGGGGTGAACCACACCAGCAGGGGAAGGACTAAGGGGCATGGACTGAACCAAAGTCGAAGCGACCAATGCCCCCAAGTCTTGGTCCCTAAAACCAAAGCAGGGCAGCCCTGGGGCATTCAAGCGGGCGACTAACCTAGTGTGTTGCAGCAACCTAAACCTAGCATGCAATGCGAAAGTTGCTTGACCCCTAACCTCGTCTAAAGAAGAGTGGGTAAATTGGAGAACAAGCGGAGAACAGGTCTCGCATGACTCCGGGTCGAATGTGTGTAGTCGACCCAACAAGCAGCATGACGAAGGCAAAACAGATGAGTGTCACCCTCAGACAAGGGCAACGACTAACCTTCAAACTCGCACAAGGCAAGATGGGATTGAATACATAGTGAGGGTCACCTGAGCCCCCAATGGGGGTTTCAAGGGCTCGCAGGGGGAGTATCCCTATGGAAAGCCAAGGTACTTGTGCTGTCAAAGCCGGTTGAACCCCCTTTAACCACCGTGCTGCGCCGAGTTTATTGTGAAATTCCCATTGTGCGCATGAAATGAAGTGTTCCCAAAAAAATCTTTTTTTTTTTTTTTTTGTAAAATGATAAATTTTCTTCCCTGAAAATGTCTATGTAAAAATAAATACCAAATTTCACTTACTTTGGGTGTGGGGACGTGGACAAGGTGCATTATGACGTCATCAGGGGCTGGTCGCCCATGCGTGACACACCCAGACACGGTCGTGCGGGCCAGTCAAGCACCGGCTGTTGCCACAAATATATTGTTTTTTATCGTATACGATGCATATTTGTCTCCTTTATAATATGTATACAGTAGAACGTTCATAATGTTCCCTGGAACTGTGATACATGTGTCAGTAATGTGTCCACAATAAATGTATATTGTCGCAATATTACTTGTTAAAAAAAAAGTTGGGAGGTGGTTGCTGGGTTCTGGCAATAGTCCCTTGTAGTCCTAAGAACTGCAAGGCTGATGTGACATGGTAGATGAGGACCATCTTGGTATACAGTTTCAGGATGCTATAAGGGGCTTCCCCCAGAAAGAGGCATTTCGATACCTAATTTACCTGAGGGCCACTAACCCTAGTGGCCTCGAAAAGGACAGGAAGCCTGTGGCTTGTAGAAGGTTCCCCTCCCCCCATTTGCCTTGATCTTTTCCAGGTTTATTTTAAAACAGTTTTGGCAGATTACAGCGTCGTTGGATAGGCAGTTCCATGGGTTAATAACCCCTGTGGTGAAAAAGCATTTCTTGTTCTCAGTCCTACATCGTGGCTTGTTGAGCTTGAACCGTTGCTCCTTGTTTGTTACTTCTGACCTTCTGAAGAAAATATCCTGATCAAAGATCAACATCGTCTAACTTGTTCAGTATTTTCAAAGTTTCAATGATATCCGGCATATCATGTCGGGTTTGCAGTGTTGTTATCCCTGTGGACTAATGATACATTCAATGATAGATTTTTATTACCTTATGTAATATTTCATATTTAAATACTCTTGATGTTGGTATAATATATCTTTAGAATACTTTGTTGATAATTGTACCTCTCTTATTAGTGTCATCTCTTATACTGTATGAGCTCACTTATCCGGATTATTTGGGGAGGACCCGGTAGGATGCGCCAGAATTAAAGTAAATAATATTTTAATTTGTAAAATAAAAAAATACCAGTACTCTAATTTAAAACAGAAACTTCAACTTACTTTGTTGTAGTTTGTCTATGTGATTGATATTGTACATCTTGAAATCAGTTAGCACAACCTTCCTCTTGATGCCTCCAGGACAATTGCTGCTCCTACCAGACATAGTCTTTGTAATAAATTATCCAAGTTACAATGTAAACAAAAAGTTAATTAACCCTTTAACTGCGCAACGCGCCTGCAGGCCCAGGCTTCGGGTGCACAACGCGCCTCCAGGTGTTTTTATTTTTCACGTTCCATACAAAACTCCCGTGGCTACATGGAGTTCACATCAGCTTCCTCAGGGCTCTTGTAAACAGACGCCATCTTTAAATAAAAAAAATCATGGTCCACATTGCCGGGTGTCAGAGCCTCAGTAGTGAGTGAGCAACCAAGGCTGGCGCTCGCAGCATGAGCGCACAGCTCTGCTGTTCAACGTGTGACCACAGCATCGCCTAATAATGTCAAAATATATATATAACCTGTATTATTTAGCCGTGATAGTATTATAGAAGAGCCTGAGTGGGATAATGACTGGATACAATGTTCAAATATCAGTGATTCAATGCTGTTCACAATGTTCACAGCGCTAGCCACAGCACCACAGCATTATTTCGTCCATCTAGGAATCTTCAAACGATGTTTTAGGTTCCTTTTCAAAATAAACTTGTGGTCAATTATTCATTTACAGAAATTAGAGACCAGGATTGGCCCATACGAGGCAGCTGCTATTGGCCCATACGAGGCAGCTGCTATTGGCCCATACGAGGCAGCTGCTATTGGCCCATACGAGGCAGCTGCTATTGGCCCATACGAGGCAGCTGCTATTGGCCCATACGAGGCAGCTGCTATTGGTCCATACGAGGCAGCTGTTATTGGCCCATACGAGGCAGCTGCTATTGGCCCATACGAGGCACCTGCTATTGGCCCATACGAGCTATTTTGGTGAGGGATGTGACGTCGTAATTGTAGCATCGTCTGCTTTCTGCTGTGTGATTTCTCCTGCAGTGTATGATGGCCACTGTACTGTTTGGACACAATACCGGTTTACTTGCATAGTTCTAGTAAATAAAACATGTAGATAAGTATATATAACATGTGTAAATAGTGTAATAAAAACAATGACATTATGGTGGAAGGAGCAATGTTGGCGAGTAAGATGTTGGAGTGAGGGAGGGCCTGTGTGGGTGTGGCTGCTCACACTCGCGATGTTCTGAATGTGTTGATGGTAAATGTATATATTGTGTGACAGTGTATAGTCTGTAAATAGATTGTATATATACATAAATTAGCATGATACATGGTAAATATGTGCAAGATATGTGTACACAAGTGTCATGCACGTAACAGTGTCCTTGGACAGTATGGATGTTTTACTGCCATAATATAGTGTACGTGTTCATTATACATAGGATTAGCACGTAAAAACAAATAAAATGTATTTGGAACTGCGCAAAAAAATGAACAAAAATATATTCGCGGTAACTCGCGCCCCACCAGCCCCGGGAGCATACTGCTCTGGCGCACGGGGAATGATGACGTCAAGCCCCACCTTTCGGACCCCATAGCAGCCAAAGTATGTACAATTTCGAACTTCCGTTGCTATACCCATATACAGAGAGGGGTTTTTGACACTTTCAGAAGAAAAAAGAATTTTTTCCCGAGGTTTTATTTCCTGCGCACTGGGGGGATGTCATATTTATAGGCCGCGCAGTTAAAGGGTTAAGAATGGCACGGTGTGATTCTTAATGCCGTGCCATTAGTGGCACAACACTGATGTATAACACGAGTTGAGAAAGTACTTGGCTTGTTTAGGTTGACTGGGCCAGGACGGATCCAGTTGGGACATGTTGTGTTGGCCACCAGATGAAAAATAATTCCCCTAATTTTTGCAGGAAACTAGTCTTCATCCTGTACACATAGCTTTTAAGGAATGTGTGTCAGTTATAATATTAGATATTATTTCTTAGGTTTTCACTGTAATGAATTGTTTTAACATGATTCTTGGTTTTTCTATACAATACAGAACATAGGCCTCTCCACATACCCCTCATCCCCTAGATGGTCCTTCCTGCCTCCCCTGACACCCCCTACACTGAAACCACCCATCCAAACATTTCCCGTACCTTGCGCCTCCCAACCCGTCCTCTTAAAAATAATGTCACTTTTCGCTCGTATGCGCGCTATGGCCAAATTTAGACGTAATTTGAAATGAAATCAACTCACAAAAGTGACGTACTATTCTGTTTTCTGTTTGAGTTGTCCGGCTTACTCGGCAAGGCTAGAACAGGCAATTTTCAATTAATGTTTTTCATAATGTTTTGAAACTTTATGAGAATTTCCTGCCCACCTAACCTATCAGAGGACCCTTAACTTACTGTTGTTGAAAAAACAAAAACAAATTTAGTTGACCAGACCACACACTAGAAGGTGAAGGGACGACGACGTTTCGGTCCGTCCTGAACCATTCTCAAGTCGATGAGAATGGTCCAGGACAGACCGAAACGTCGTCGTCCCTTCACCTTCTAGTGTGTGGTCTGGTCAACTTACTTTAGCCACGTTATTGTGACTCATTGCCTGCATCCCAAATTTATTTATATTTTTTTTTTCATTTTCAAATTACGTCCACTTTCGGCCATACGGGTAAACGGCCAAAAGCGACGTTATTTTTAATGGGACAGGTTGCGCCTCCAGCCACTTCCATATGGGATTACTACAGTAAAGCATGATGCCTGTCTACAATATTCGGCAAAATCTCTGGTTTTGTTGATATGTCTAGATACAGTGAAGTTTGGCAGAAATTTATCTGGACTTGATTTAGAATCTATGCCATTATGCACCATCTGGCCAGCTCTCCTGTTATTGAGATTGCTATCTGGATATGGCAAAATTTTCCCAGAAAAATATCTAAGCTATTTTGGCCGAATAACCCAATTAACCAGTTTAGTGGAATTCGGATAAGCAAGGTCATACACTACTCCATAAAAATCCCAATGATTTCTTTATTTTTACCTCAATACTTTCTGTACACTTCCCTAGCTCAGTTACTGTATCATGTTTTCCGGTATATCCTTGCTTGCATATATTAGACAAGGGCAATGAGGGTAGATCAGATATTACTCTCTTTGATAAAGGCAGCTGCAGGAACTTTGTTCATTGCCAGTATTATTTATGTATGCAGTCATTTGAAATATATAATAACTATCCATTTCAGTATATCATAATGGAATTTTATACATTTGATGTTTGGTGCTTGCTTCAGATGGCATTTAAAACATTTAGTTACCTTTTTAAGGTAATAATTATTTTGTTTCTTGATATTTTGTTTCAGAAAGTATTTGGCAACCAAGTAAAGATCAACTGTGTAGACCCCTGTATAGCCTCAGACCCAGAAGCCTGTTCTATACCACCTCGAGGTCCTAAGCAGCAGCACTTTATATTCCCTCGCCTTCCAAATACATCTTCAGTTTCCTTTTACTACAGACAGGTATGTGGGGATTTAGCACATAACTTTCTTGGGGGGAGCACCGTTGGTTCCCCGGAGCTATTCAGGCTGATATGTAATATATTAGACTTTGGCATTAGTCAGGGTGAATGGAGTTCATGGGTCTACCGGGGACCACGAGCCAGAACCTGACCCCTTCAGAAAGGCACGAGGAGCAATGACCTATAGAATAGCACATGTGATTTGGAGCATTCTATTTCTGCCACCGACTAGGTCAGGCACCCAGAAAGGTAAGCATCCCAAAATTAACCCCTATTCTGGTTGAAACTACTACTGAAAGTCAAATGAGTGGACAGAACTCCCCAAAGAAAAACAAGCAAATAAGCATGACGTCATCACTTGCCATGCCGCCGTCTGCGCAACTCCCCCCCTCCCCGGGAGGGGGAAGGGGGAGCCCCAGACCTCTCGTGCCGGCAACCCACAACTTCAGTTTTTTGGCTGATGTAAATGGTATTGATCGCTGTGGCTCTTGCTCCTGATTTCTGTCTTCTGCTCTGTGCCTTGTGGTGTAGGGCGAGTCTTCTCTGGTGGTGCACGAGCCAGGAGTAATTTCCCAAGTACTCGGGCAGCATGCGCCTAGGATCACCTTCCTTAGGTGCCCTTTAAGTACACCCCTTGGGGCTTGGGGTTGTCTTTCACAAGTCACCTTGGGGTCTACCTCTGTTGGTCTGCTGCTAGATAATTGACCACCCTGAGTGTGTTGGGGGTTTTCCTCCTCCCTTGTTTACCTTAGGGGTAAGGGGTAGTTTGCACTGGTAGGGAAGCAGGTTACTGCACAGTTACTTATCACCTATAATGGCTGCTGGTTCTGTTCTGCCTGGGTATGTTGTCTTCTTGCAAAGTTTTTCATTTGTTTTTGTTTTCCTGCCTGGTGGGGAGTAGGGGAGGTCTGCCTTTGTTTTGTTGCCTCCTATGTATACCTTAGGTTTCTATCTGTTCTGGGTGGTATCCCCTACTTGGGGCCCCGTGAGTGGACACGTCCCGGGGTTAGCTTCTAGAAAGTTTGTTGGTAGACATGGGCGCCGGTTAGTAGTACCCTGCCTGGGCTTCCCTGAGTGTGAGTTCAGTCTAGGGACCCTGGGAATTCCTACGGGGACACATGGGTTCGATGGATGTGACCCCTGAGTTCCCCCTCGCTTTGTGCGAGTTTAAGGGTTGCTCTATCCCCTTGTCTCAGGGGTGACTCTTTGTTTTTGCCTCTATTGTGCTGCCTGCTTAGTCAGTGACACTTTCGACCCGGAGTCCTGCGAGTTTTGTTGCTTGTTTGTGACTCAGTTTACCCAGTCCACTGACGACGATTCAGGTACAGGCGGCGCAGGCGTTGGACGTTAAGTTTAGGTTGTTGCAACGTGCTGGGTTGCTTGCTTCCCCGCAAGCCCTGAAGCTGCTCCATTTTAGTTATAGGGACCCGGACTTTGGGATGTTGGTCACTTCGGTCTTGGTTTCGTCCGCTCCTCCCTCGTCCTTCGCCTGCTGTTGTTCGGTCTCGTCCTCTTCCACCACCACCACCCCCCCCCCTGCATCCGGCTCTGCACCATCTGAGGGTTTCGGGGTCGGGGCAGGGTTTAGATGGACTTGAGACTCAGACGGTCTAGGGGGATGCTCCTTCCAGGGTGGCAACGGAGGCATTTGAATCGATTCTCCCTGCCTAAGCTTTTGGGTCTGACCAGTGGGCCCCCTTCCTTACGGCTTCCACGGCTGCACCGGCCTTTTCTTTTGAGGCTGGGGCTTTGGGGGACGACTCCGCTCCGGGGTCCTGATGTGGTGGTTCCCGAGGCTGTGGAGGGGCTGACTTGGGGGCTTTGGGCCCTGTTGGACCCCATCTGAGGTTTCCTACCCTCCGATCGGGGCTTACTGTTACATGGAGTGGGGTTTTCTTCCCCCCTTCTGCGTACAAGTGAGATTTGATGTTGTCCCCTCCCCGGGTTCGGCTCCGTGTCCCTTTGGGTCAGTCAATTCCGTCCTGGAGGTTTTTGACTTCCCACATCTCGCTGACTGAGGTGCAGGCGGCCAATGCGGCTTACCTCCTACATGACCTGGATTATGCCTCTCTAATGGATTCGTCTCCATACTTGGGTTTGTTATGAGGTTCCAGAGTCCTGGCTAGCAGACTGCCCTGTGTTGTCATTGGATTCTTGGAGTACTTCTGTCGTACCGCACACTTGCGTGGTTCGAGGCATTCATGGTGATCCAGGTTTCCCTGGGGGGCATTCTCATTCACCTCAATGCATGTTTGTTCGCCCCTGTGCTTCAGTGGGATGTTGGTGTGGTTCAGCTTTGCGTGTAGGTTCCCTCCCTGCCTTGCAGCTGCTTTGGTGGCTGAGGGCTTGCGTGATCGTGGCCTGCTGGCTTCGGTCTTGTGGTTCTTATCCCTCCTGGAGCTGTCTTTGGATTGGCTTCAGGGGGATGCGGTGGCACTTGGGGCTGTTCCTGGGTCTGGTGCCCTGGTCTCGGCAGCGGGTGTGTCGTCTGCACTGCTGGAGCTGTTTGCGCCGGTCCTGTGGGATGCGGTGTCACAGTTTTTTGCTTCGCGTCTCGCATGTCGACTAGTGGTGCTCGCTTCCTTGTTGGAATCTTCCTGGGCCTTGGCTCTTAGGTTTTCATCGCTATTTTGTCCTTTGCTGTTTGTGGAGTCTGTGGTTGGGCGGTTTCTGCTAGCAATTTCTTCTAGATGTCTGTTATCGGACTTGTTGATCTTTCGGGGGTCCCGGAGGAGGGGGGGGGGTGTTTCCTGCCGGATGGGTCGTGCCTGTGCTCTGGGTTCCTCTTGTTACGGCAGGCCACTGGTGCTAGTTTCTGAGTCGGCGCCACCTTTGGACCCATCTTCGTCTGGTCAGCACGGTGATGGCTGTGTAATTACCTAAGTGTAGTTACAGGATGAGAGCTATGCTCGTGGTGTCCCGTCTTCCCAGCACTCTTTGTCATATAACGCTTTGAAACTACTGACGGTCTTGGCCTCCACCACCTTCTCCCCTAACTTGTTCCAACCATCTACCACTCTGCGAAAGTGAATTTTCTTATATTTCTTCGGCATCTGTGTTTAGCTGTGTGTGTAAGTCGGGGTTTTGTAAGGGGCGTCGGCCCTTTCGTGGTTCGCCCCATTGATGGGGCAGTGAGGAGGGGGCTTGTTCTGTTCGCTCATGTCTGGTCTCACGATTTGTGGGCTTTTCGGGTCGTTTTCGACTTCCTACGGTGGCGTTGGGTGGCCCTTCTCCTTCGGGGGGTTCGGGGCTGGCGGGGTGGGTCTTTTCTCCGCTCTGTCGGGTCATCTTGGAGTGGGTACGCTTGGGCGTGGTCGAAACTACAACGTGCCTCAGGTGGGTTTCCTGCCTGTTCCAGTCCCGAAACGGGATATGGAGAACCTGCAGTTCATTCTGGATTTTCCCTGTCTGAACCCTTGGGTTTTTGCCCCTCTTTTCGGATGACTACTCGCTCCCAGGTCTGGCTTCTTTTGGAGCCGGGCGCTTCGATGGTATCTCTGGACCTCTGGGATGCATACGGTATTGGCACATCCCGATTCATCCGGGTTTCAGGGATTGGCTCAGGTTTGTTGTGGGGCATCTCGGTTACCACTTTCATTCTCTCTCATTCGGGTTGCATCTGGCACCTCGTGTGTTCACACGCCTTACCCATGTCGTAATGGCCCATCTGTGTCTCTTAGGTCTTAGGGTTCTGGCCTATCTTGATGACTGGCTGGTCTGAGCTCCCAACCAGTCCACCTGTCTGCTCGCTGGGTTCAGGTTCCTGGCGCACTGGCAGAATTTCGATCTGGTTCCCTCTCGGGTTCGGACTGGGCTGGGTCCTGTGTGGGACTCGCGGACCTTTCCTTGGGTCTTTGGGGATGGTCGCTTCAGATGTCGCGTCTGCCGAGTTCTCAGAGAGCCCAGCCTTGGTTCGGGAGCTACTTGCTCAATGTCCGTACCCAGGGCTTTTTCCACGGCTCCGCCTCTTTCAGATGATCGATCCAGTCCGTTATGTGGCTGGCTCTGTCTTCTTGAATCTTCGCGTCTGGTAATTTTGACTCAAGTTTATCACCATCTGTTTGGTGATCAGGTGGCTTCGTTGCTGGTGTAACACCTGCGTGCTTCATCTTGGCAGCAGTATGTAGTTTACTGGCGGTCCATCCTTGTTCTTTTTATCTCTTCATAGGTATACTGCACTTTTTGTTGAGGTAGTCTTGTCTTTTCTCGAGTGTGACTTTTCAGGACCGTCATCGTATGCCGCATACTGTCACCTCGTATTGTGCGGCACTGGAGGAGCCGCTACGACTTGCTTTCGGTTTTGATGTTCCTTCTGCAACGTTTTGTGAGCTGTCTCGGGCGTTGTTTCACCTCCGGCCTGCTCATGCGCCGCCTGAGCCGTCCTAGTCTTTGAACAAGGTGCTCTCTTATCTCTTTCCCCCTCGGTTGTATGTGGCCCCTTCGGTTCAGGATTGTTTCTCAGAGGTTTCTGCTCTTTTGGGTTCTGGTGATCGGTTTGTTCGTTTGCAGCCGTCTCTTCTAGCGAGGTTGGAATGGCTGTTTTCCGGGAGGGTCCCTGGGATTGTTGCTTGGTTGGTTTGGCCCGGGGGTGCATCTTCTTGTGTCCGATTGTGGCTATCAGCTATTGTCTGCATGCCGTGGCCTCTGTGGCCATGGCTGCGCTTTGGGTTGACCCGGATTCCTTTCGTTCCTGTTCCAGGGTTTGAGTGTCCCGGGTCGTGCGCGGGTCATTCGGTGTTGCCAGTTATCATGCTTTTGAATTCGGGCGCATGGTTTCTGCCTCCTGGGTTTGTCCCTCTTTTGCCCTTGCCTTTGGGTAGATAGCTCCAGGGAGCCAAAGGGGCTCCCTCCAGAAAATCAGCACTGAGTGTAATGAAACACCATTTTCTGGATGAGACCCGGAGGCTTCCCAGTATCCCTCCCTCACTCCAGTCGGCGGCTTTTTCAAGTGTTTTGACATCCAGCCTCAGAACTGAAGATGTGGGTTACCGGCGCGAGTGG